TCTCTACCGATTAGTAAGTGTTCCAAGACCTTGGTATCGATGCAAGTGCTGCAAATGGAGGATAGCGTGGACGAAGTGTAGAGACTGTACACGGGTGTCACTGCCAAGCCTGATTTACGTGCATGTTCGAGCGGGGAAAGTTGCACGCAATTGCTGCCGCTGCGGACGATTCTCCTTGCATATACGAAGGACCGTCCTCGGAGATCAGTGTACAGTTTGTCCCTGAAACCTCGTTCTACGTAACAAGGCGTAGACAGTGGTATAGGTGCTACTTGAGTTTTCATGACGAGAAAAATGGTAAGATCTCGTCGAAAGGGCCATAAAAAGCTCTCTAGTTATAATCTTTTCCGTTTTCTGGCCGGAACCATTTGGAGCCCTACGGAGCTTGTGTGACGTCCCGTGATGGGACTTGCGTCAAACAATACACAACCATTTTTGTAATTCTTCATTAATACAGTTATAATAAATACCTTATACAAGCTGTGGCAGTACTCCACTGTACCCGAACATCAAAATAAGAACTTGACCAATTAGAAAGCTTCTATGTATGTTCTGATGATAAAAGAAGCTAACAACACGTCAAGACGGATTGCGGTTGTCTCATGGATAGCTGGCATTCTTCATGTCATGAGGATGTCAGTTTCTGTTCACGTAAAGCTTTCTGCGGCTCTTTCGATGTTTCGAGTAGGTCATCGGAGAACCTTCTCCGCATACTGGTGAGAACAGGTAGCAGTTCACTCCACCCACCGTCGCCAAGCAGAACTCGTCCGTGTGTGCTGAATTATCATGATTAGAAGTGGTTACCTTTCTAGAAAAGTGGCACGAACTAATAGAAAGGCAGAGTGCGAAAACATTTGTGCTGAATCAATTAAAATCACGGCGTTGCTTATGTGGTTGCTCAGGAGATCTGCGATGCAGTAAAACAGTGCTACAAGTAGCGATGCTATGTGGTCAGTATACTGCGATCCGAGAAGGAGACGGTTGGTCATATCGTTAATTGAACACTGCATGGTAATCTGGTTCCTACAGTCTTGCTCACTGCGGATGATGGAGCATGTCGTGGAGCTGGTTTTGACACGGATCTTGCAGTTTCCACCAACTGTGGTCACCTGCCAACTTCCACAATCGGTGGGAAAGGCCTGGCGCGCGTCAGCCCCCTGACAAGCCCATCATCCGCAGCGAACACGATACGTGGAATAGCGTCGTGGAATTCATGACCGCAGGAATTATTAGGTTGGCGGGAAAGTTCTGTCACATTTTTTCAAATAGGCTTTCTTTTTATAGAGAGGCGTGTAAGATCAAAATTGTACAGCAATGTTACTGCGGGGTTCCTTGCCAGTTTTCATGGATGCCATCGCTTCACAATGCAGGGAGGCGCGATACAAAGTTGGACATCATCTCAATCTTGACTTGAACTCAGACTTATCGAGGTTTTCTCGTCCACATAACGATTGAGTACGGGAGGCAACTCGCAGTTAGAAGGAGCAATGTCTGTGCTACACCAGTGCAAGGGGAGAGCCATCCAGCTCTATTGCATGAGGTACGGCTCGAACTTTTTTGGACGGAGTGCGCTGCACTATCGTGATGAGGGCGGACAAATTTTTCCCTCTGATCGACGATTCGCTTCAGATCTCGTAGCTGCTTTGCGTACATGACCGAGAAAGCAGCTTCTTCATCCAGCACTTTCACGACCCGCAGCTCCCTCAATCTGAGTTCACAGGTACACCCAAACCTCACTTCATCACCAAAACTGTAGGCTACCGCTTTGAAGCATCAGCGTCGTGGAAGGTCGTCCTATAATTGAGGGCATCGTCCTTATTCAGCTCCATTGACTGGCATTCTACCGCTTACACTGCCGGCGTCAGGATGGTGGAAGAAAGAGTTTGAGGAAGCGCTTGGAGGGGTCGGTGCCGATGGTAGCGGATAAAATCCTTGTCCATATTGCAGAAGAAGAAGAAGCAGGAGTCAAGCGAGAAGTGGGGTGTCGCTAATAGAAAGATCACTCTTTGATGTATAAGGGCTCACATTACCGATTACCCATTTTCAGGTAATGGGTAAGTATTTTGAATTCGAAAGAGTGTGACAGAACCCGCCAACCTAATACCGCCTTTTGCAAAGCTCAAAGGTTGTCCACCTCTTCAAAAAATGTCCTCCTCCATCAGACCCTGTTCTCGGTCCAGTGGCACACTACTCCCATTCACACCTTCATCCGCGTCTGCAAAATTATCCGGGATCCAGAAACAATAAGATGGTACCGGAAACGGAAAGAAAGCTACAACTCTTCTCGGTCTTTGTGAAGCCCTACTTTTTACTACAAAACTTGCTCCTCACCTTCTCAAAGCTTCTAAGGGCCCTCACTTTTAGGTGGCGTTCCGAGCGACTAAAATGGTGGGCAGGTGGCGTGCAAAGCGCTCTTTCGTAGTTCAGGTCTTTGACTGGCTGCAACTGGTTGGAAGAAGCCCCATCCTAAAGTAATGGATTTGCAGCGGCCCAATATTTAGCAGTGGGGCGCCATCCCTCATAGTCTTGCGATTCTCAAGTTGTACGATTGAGTCGCTCAAGAAGCTTGGTATTAAAAAATGCCTAAGAGAACTCGTCTTATGCGAATGTTAACTGAGCACAAAGGAATTTTGCAATAGCATTCCTTGATTATATCTTCAGGAGGGTCAGTCGGGAGAATCGCGTGACAGCGATGCGGCAAAAGCGGCGGCATGCACGCGGCATTCGCACCAGGACATAATTGATATAATGTAAGGTTCTATAGTACGTCGAGTGGGTAACTAGGAAATACTCGGATATATTCTGAGCTTCTGCACTCAGCCGCAAGCTGAATCACGAGGGAAATAACGTTCAACGCCGGCCGTGATGCAAGCACAACAGTCAATAAAATAATTCAAGCAGTTGAATATCTCGGTGACATACCGATATAGCTGAAAAAACCGGTGCCGCAGACGGCGTCGAAAAATAGTCCGGTTTCAGATTCCGCAGCGGACTGTACAGCACGTTTCGAGGCTTCCGCATCGTTAGGAACAATATTCTGAAAACTGGGAATACATCAGGGATACTTTGCGAGCGCTGTGAATTTTCCCGTGCTGATTGATTGGCCGACGATAATCTGTCTCGGGGGTATGCTCGCTCACTTTCTAGTGCAGTTCAGCGAGGGAATGTTTCGAGAGTTTTGGGCCGTTTCGTCCAGTTCTGTGGAACTATACAGGGGGGAGGCAAAAAAGTCACTTTTCTTCATTGACTTTCGAGGCGCTATAAGTTACACTTTATTGAATTCTGATCGGACATTTTACCACCATATTAAAGAGCATATCAAATACTATCATGACACTCCGCCACAGCCTTCTGGACGAGCGCCATCGAGAGATTCTGGCACGCGACCGCGATGTGGTGCCTGAGATCAGCGAGATAGTCGATTTCTCCGCCACCGTAGACCACCCTATTGAACTCCGCCCGAACCGGGTAGAGGGGGTCAGGTGACCTACTTGGATATTCCATCTTCTTTAGGTACTCAGCCCCCTTCCATTCCAAGTAGGCGAGAGTTTCTCCAACGCCCTTCGATTCGTGGTGGTGGCAAACCCCAATCGCTTTGGCAGTACAAGGTTTCCAAGAAGGTACGGGCGACTACAGGCGGGGAGAAATTCTTCGCGAGTTGCTCGATGTAATTGCCAGCCCTCACCTTTCAATATGGGTTACTCACGAAGAAAATATTAGCGCTCTTTCTATTCCAGTACGTCCGATCCCCACCATCAACTAGTGCCTTGGCGGAGTGGGGCAGGTGAAAATGCACTGTCCTAGACCGTAGCCGACGCGGAGCTGCTCGGATGTTGCGATGGTTTCCGAATGAGGAGAATACTTAGCGCTCTCCAGGTTTAAGCTACTCATGGGTGACTCCATAGTAGAAGCTTTCGCAGCCTTTGGAGGTGCACATTGAATTCGCAAAGCGTCTTCTTCACGGTCAGGCTGGCGACCGGTGTTGCATTAATTTTGGTGTACATGAAGGTGATGGGCGAGAGCCAGCTCCTGCTTATCGAGGAACATCTTGGGTATCTTCCGCCCTGGTACTCGTATCCACGTCCTCTGTCTGGGCTGCGAAAACTTTGCTGATATGTGACTCGGTCGAAGTGACTTTTTTTGCCCCCCCCCCCCCCCCCTGCTGCATATCCGTTCTCTTGCAGCGACCAGTTTGTCGTGCCCACTGCCTTCTGCGAAGTGGATGGTGATGCAGCTACAGCAGCTGTAGTCTGTAGTCTTTTTCCCCGCTACAACATTCAGCCCTTTCATCCTCATGAAATTTATTGCCATGCTAAGCTCTTATCTCAACTCTCTCTACATTCACTTCGCCCCTGTGAGCCCCTCTAAGCAAGAAACCACCCATCTCCTCACACCTACTGGAACGATCCCTCTGTTGAAAATTCCCTGATAGTGTTGTGCATTTGACGGAAGCCCAAAACTGGTCTGGCATCCCAACCTCAGATAGGGCAATTCAAAATGTCCTTAGAATGCGCCTCATCGGAACACGGATAGAATTGGATCTTCAAATGTCACTCGAAAGGTTTTTGTCTCAATAGTTAAGATCTCACGTTTTGAATGATCGTCCTCAATCGAAGACTGTTGCACTTATCCTCCGAAATCAACTGACCATTCGTGCAGCTCAGTTCGCCTGTACACTGAAACCATCAGTTGCACTTACATCACAAACTTATCAATTCAAGTTTTCCAAAGACTGATGAAGAGGGTTTCCAAAGAACATCAATGGAGAAAAGGAAACTAATACATTTTATAGGCAAAACTTTGACGTAACCTTTATTCACAAGCCTTATACCCTCCAAGAACGATAGATTGGTACCAGGTTGGTCTGAGAAGACCAGAACGCTAACTTGTTTATTGTTTGGCTCCGGCAAGTCATTGAGTGGATTCCATCCCATTCCATAGACCGCTGCGATGCGAATGAAAGTTAAAAGGCGTGCGCATCCTCGATTGACAGGACTTTATCCTTCATTATCCTTTTATAGCTAACACTACCAGTGGAAAAAAATTTGTATTAAAGTTCAATTATCGAAGATGGCCTGATTAACCACTTTGAGTGCAAAAGGGGGCAGAACCTTGCAGCTTGTTGGGCAAAACCTTACAGCGATACTTGGCACTAAGTTCTGGCTGAGCCTTGACATTGTGAATTTAGGTCTAATGCGCCAGAAGCTAGTAGGTTAATGTGCTCAACGTTGAATCGCCCAGTTCCGAGCTCATCCCCTCGAGTTTTTGTCAGAAGCCCTCGTCTTTGTTACAGTAACTTAAGCTTCGCACAAAAAAGATCTTGATAGTTTTCCTTTCAAGGTGGGTACTGCCCCCAACTTTCAACTATGCCTGTAGCCATGGAATATTAAACTGCTTCAGTTTCCGGTGTGTTCGGTGGTGGTGTAGGTACGACCCTCCCCCCCCTCCCCCTTCCCCAACACCTACCTACAAATTTCCCCCATTTTCCAGTTTTTTCACCCAAAAATTTTCCGTCGAGCGGGGGGAGGGATATATAGAGCACATGAAACAGGAAAAATCAAGCAAAAGTCAATAAGCGGAAAACCAAGGCGACAAATTTCTCTCAAAGGCACATACGATCCCCCTCCCCAGAGAAAAAGTAAGACCCTCCCCCCCCCCTTATGTGTTTCACACAACGATGCTGTACCGTGTCGGTCAGTCTGTGGGAGGTGCTATGGTCTATGCGTGAGCTTACAAGCAAAAACTTTTCGCACAGAAGAGAAATAAAACTCTCCGGCGACATTGGCAGGGATGCGTTCTGTTTCGATGACACCAGCCATGTAAGCTGCGATCCGCCCTTTCTGAGTACAGGGTGAGGGTGCAGGAAGGTATATCGGGTTGTGGAGATTGTGACACCATTTAGAAAAAGGTCGTACCTATAGATAATTTATCAAAGAGTTTGTCGAGTCAATTACTTGAAAATACTCAATAATGCTCCCAGCAAGACGTCAGGACCTGGGAGGGGAGAACAAATTGAGGGCAAGCGTATGCAGCGAGCTCAGCCTACAAGATTACTGCAAGGTTGAGCTGTAGGTTTAGCCTCCTGAAATTGTCAGCATTTCTCGGAAATTTACTTCGTTTTACTAACGTCTGACTCGAAAGCTTCGTCATTGTCCTCCAAATCGCTATCAGTTGGGGGTGTTGTCGGCGGCTCCACTGCAA